TCAACGGAATCTCTCAAAGCAGCTAGCTTGGTGTAGGGCACTAGACACAGTAGACCAAAGACCTGGCAATGCTGTTAGTAATAGGCAAGTTCTCAACCTGTTTCCTGAAAGGGAATTTCTGAACCCCCATATTGTATTTCAAAGATTAAGGCTCAAAATCAAGCCTTAACTGCTATGAAAATTCTATTTTAATATAAGTGGTCATTAAACTAACTTTTGAAAAGTACTACACATTACCAATCAGCGTAATATATAGCAGCCCACTGATTAGACAATCTTCTCAATACAGCATCCCAGTGATTAAGAATCAATTCTGTAAAAAAAATCATTAGCGCTTTCTGCAGAGATGAGGGAAGCTTTGAAAAGTACAGTTTTGCTCTGCCTTCCAAAGATTCTGCTATTGCCATAAAAAGGATGAGAAAAATATTTCCTGTCTCCAACTCATAATTAGAGGACCCTTTAATAGGCACCTTAATAGAATATACATCTTATCCCATTCATAACAATGTGCTTATTGCCCATTATTTTCCTAAACTTTATTATTGCTTTTTAAATTATGCCCTTCAATGGCTGCAAAATGACCACATGACACAATATAGGAAGTGTTTAAAGAAAGTATGTTTCCAGAAGACAGCAATTACAGCAAAAATACCATTTGCCCATTGATTCTCATTATAAAATTAGATATTAACTCTGGGGAGGAAATCCATAAATTAAAGCCTTTATGCTGTTTTTGTCCTTACCTTTTCCACCTAAGTATCAGGACTTAGTCATGTTTGTGTTATCCATCCTGCCTCCCACGTTTTCTATATGGCAGATACATGGTAATTGAATAATGACCTACATGGACTATTCAATGCTGCTAGGTAACAGGTAATTTGAGCAGCTTATGGTTGTAGCCCCTTACCTAACAGTCTACTTATTCTCTTGTTGTACTTTTAGTACTAAATTTTCTTGGCTTAAGAATTTTTCTTTGGAAAATAAGTTTCTTCCATGTAAAAATTTAACTTCACTCTTTACATTGAATATCTGGCAAATGTTTTTTCTCTTTGCCATGAAATTATATTACCGTATTTTCCGGCATATAAGACGACTTTTGAAATGAAAAAAAAGTCAACTGAAAATCAGGGACAAAAGACCAAAATTGCACAAAAATTACCTGCAGATCTTGATGGCAAAGTAAGTCTTTTCTTTGGAGGGTTAATCTTAAACAGCAAATATAGGCCTAAACCTATGTTTTAACTGTAAAATTAGGGGGTCGTCTTATATGCCGGAAAATACGGTACCCAATAGAGATAACATATAGTATTCACAGCCTAAAGTGTTTCATCTGTGAAATGCCACATTTCCAGGCTCTAGTTTCATAAGTTTTCTCCTTATTCTTTAAAACAAATGTCATTATCTTAAAGTTAAAAGCTGGGTCTTGCATATGAGAGAGAGAGAAAGAGAGGGGCCCAGTGAAATTGTGCATGGGTAGGGTCCCTAGGCCTGGCTGGCGATCAGGGCTGATTGGGGCCTTATGGCTGCTGGCCGGGGCCTTCCATTGTTTTGCGCCGCCCCCTGGTGGTCGGTGCATATCATAGCAATCAAACTCCCGAGGGGACAGTTTGCATATTAGCCTTTTACGTATATAGATTTTCTTTTTTTGGCAGATCATGATCAACTAAAGGAAAAGATAAAGGATCTAGAGACACAGCTGGAAATGTCAGATCTAGAAAAGCAGCATTTAAAGGTAAATAATATATTTAATTATAGTATTACTAAAGGCCCAATGCACAAATTCATGCAGAGGTGGGGTCCCTCTGGGTGGCCTGCAGGGATTGGGCTGAAACCCACAGTTCAACGCCGCCTGCATTTCCTACCTGCTGTTCTGCTCATCCCTGCCCCACTGTGCCTGCCACGGGCTCACACCCAATCAATCCCTATCAGGAGAGGCTTGTGCTGCCACAGCAGCACTAGCCAGCCATGAGCCCTGCGTCTGGCACCCTCCCAAGGGGAGTGTCCTGCGGGATTGGGCTGAAACTGGCCCACTGACAACCCCTAAGGGGTCCCGGATTGTAAGAGGGTGCAGGCCAGGCTGAGGAACCCCACCGGTGTACAATTGGGCTAGGTGGGGATCATGGGAAGCCTCCAGGACATGTCCAGACCATTTCATTCAGTCCTTATGGGCTAGACCCCAGCAGTAAGCTAACCTATCAGTTGGAGCATCTGCTCCCTGGTGGTCAGTGCATATGATAGTGACTGGTTGACCAATTAACTGACTTCCCCCTGGTGGTCAGTGCACATCATAGTGAGCAACTGAGCAGCCTTAGCATTTCATTAGCATATTACGCTTTGTTTGGTTGTTCTGCCATTCAGTCTATTTGCATAGTACCCTTTAATTATATAGGATTATTACATAAGATAGTATTACTAGAGGTCTGGTGCATGAATTGTGAACCAGTTTGGTCCCTCAGCATGGCCTATAAGATTCAACCAAAACCAACTCTGACATCCCCCAAGGGGTCCTGGATTGCAAAAGGGAGCAGGCCAGACCAACGGACCCCACCAGTGCACGATCGGGGCCAGGAAGGGACATGGGAGGTTGGCCAGCTGGGGAGGGACCGTGGGAGGGCTCCAGGGCATGTCTGGCCCTTCTCAGTCAGTCCTGATTAGCCAGACCCCAGCAGCAAGCTAACCTACCAGTTCGAGTCTGCCCCCTGGTGGTCAGTGCATGTCATAGTGAATGGTTGACTGTCTGCCCCCTGTTGGTCAGTGGACATCATAGCGAGCAGTTGAGCAGCAATAACATATCAGTGCATATTACCCTTTGATTGGTTGAACAAATGATGGATGCCCACTTAGGTTATTAGGCTTTTATTATATAGGATAAATGTTTTATGAAAATAGCTTATGAAAAGTTTCATGGTCACCATGTTTAAATTTTAAGTATGTATCATAAAAATTCCTGGGACTACATTTTATATTTGACCTTGACATTGCAAAGTCCATTATATTCATCTGTTAAGAAATATAAAAGCGCTACCAAAAAAACTGAGATAAAACAAATAGGATTAAAAAGTAAATTTATTTTTTAATTGTCACAAATATAGAACTCATTTTAATATTATTTTAAGTTTTTGGTCACATAGCGAACAGTGTCTTTTATTTTCTTTTGAAAGTCTTTTCAGGAATAGTTCCCCTCTCTTAAAAAGATATTTGCTATGCTTTATGTCTTTCATGAACCTATAAATAGAAAAGAACATATGAAAGTTAACTAGTGATTATTAGCTATTTTAAAGCTCAAATTGCCTCTTCACTAGATGCATAGCTTTTAGGCAAGAAGCCCTGGAATTTCCCTGATCATAAATATATTTATAAGAAATTGACTATTATTCATTACAAATAACATGTTTGTAAAGAAAATATAAATGAAGCCTAAGCTAAAGAATCTTAACCAAACAATCTTAATGCCACGTGAAGAGCCGTGTCTTTTTGCTCGCCTCACTGAGTATCTGAGAGTGTGCTTTTGGAGAAAGATTAAAGCCCCCTCTAAGAACTGATACATTTTAGTCAAAGACTAGGATATAACTTACAGAACAGATAATTTGATTTGGCGAGTCAAGTTAGTTACTTATACTGCACGATAAAACCTTATTAGCAAAATCTTAATACTTCAGTCTTTATATTTGCTATTCAAGTTACTTTGGTGCTCATGTTTATAAGTTAATCTTTTAATTTAAACCTAAGGAGAGTTATATACTTACTAGAGGCTTGGTGTACAAATTTGTGCATGGGTAGGGTCCCTCAGCCTGGCCAGCGATTGGGGTTGATCAGGCCAGGAGGTGGTCAGCTGGGGGGAGGGGCCATGGGAAGTTGGCCAGCCATGGGAGTTTGGGTGTGGGAACCCACTGACCACCAGGGGGCAGCTCCTACATTGAGTGTCCTCTGGTGGTCAGTGCACGTCATAGCTACCATCTGGTCATAATGGTCCCTTAGGCTTTTATATATATAGTTTGATGTCTTTTAAAGACAATATGTTTCTCTTAGGAGGAAATAAAAAAGCTGAAGAAAGAACTGGAAAATTTTGATCCATCGTTTTTTGAAGAAATCGAAGATCTTAAGTATAACTACAAAGAAGAAGTGAAAAAAAATATTCTTTTAGAAGAGAAGTTAAAAAAACTTTCTGAACAATTTGGAGTTGAATTAACTAGTCCTGTTACTGTTTCTGAACAGTTTGAAGATGAAGAGGGAAGTCCTGTCAATTTCCCCACTTTCTAAGGGCCAGTTATAATTAGTTTTTATTTAACTATTTACAAGTCTCTGACCTATATGATATCCTTTCCAATACCCTGTACCTTTACCTGAATTTGATATTTTAGTAAATAAAGTTGTATAAATTTTTTAACACATTAGAAAAGTATATATTTGAAGATTTTTTTAAAGTTAAATTATGACTATCATGTAGGCAATGAGCTATAGTGAACTTCTGTACAATCATAATGTTTTAAGTTTTAAATACGAGTAACAATTTTTAACATTTAAAATTGGGGTTTTATATTCTTACCTATTTATATATGTGTCATGGTTCTTAAATTTATATGTATACACACAATAAGGCTGAGCCATATGTCTTGTTAAATGTCAAGCAAGGTTAGATAAAACTCAGCTTTAAGTATTTAACTTTGAAAGTAAATGATCCAAAATTGTTGGTTTCATTGTTATCTTTAAATTACTATTCAGTTATAGTGGACAGAATCCAACCCTTTGTACAAGCTAGAGAGCTTACTATTACTTACATTTTTAAATCCATAGGTTAAAATTTGCTAATTGCAAATAAGACTTTGACTAGATATTTCCAACTGGAAAATTCATTTCTTCAAATGCTGGAAGACTTATTTCTCCATTAGACACTGAACAATAAATAGGAACTTTGAGATATTTTTACCTTTTACACAGGGCAGAATATTCAAGATTCAAATATAACAACAATGAAGCTGGTTTTTAATGACATTTCCAGTCTATTCATCGAGTATTATATCTTTGAGCCTACTAAATTTCTGATGATCTATTTTTGAAAAATGATTAAATAGACACTTAGTATCAAAAGCATAGTCACGTTTGTTCAAATTCATGTTAATAATAACCGGTTTTGAATTCATGTAAGTATCTGGAATTGGCCAGCATAAGCCAAGATGATGGCGATGGACCTGGAAAGAGAAAGGAAGGTATTAGCTCTACACTACATTTTCTTCATTGACTTAAAAATATTTATTTTGTGTGCCTACCATCTTCCAGGCACTATTTAAGGCTCCCCTTTATCCTACCCTTTATTTTTTTCATAGCTGCTTCTCCCCCTGACATACTACATATCTGTGTATTATCTATCTTCCCCATTAAAATGTGAGCTTCATGAGACAGACATTGTTCATCCGGACTTTGTAATACCTGGAAACATGCCAGGAACACAAATTAGGGGCTCCAAAATATTTAATAATAGTCTGTTAATAAGTTCAGAAGCTAACCAATTATGGCTAGGGACACAGTCTAACCTAGTGGTCGGCAAACCTCTGTTCACAAGCCACATGTGGCTCTTTGGCCCTTGAGTGTGGTTCTTCCACAAAATACCACATGCGGGCACACACGTACAGTGTGATTGAAACTTCGTGGCCCATGCGCAAAAGTTGGTTTTCGGCTCTCAAAAGAAATTTCAATCGTTGTATTGTTGATATTTGGCTCTGTTGACTAATGAGTTTGCTGGCCACTGATCTAACAAAGGGAATATCATGTGACAGAAAGGTGTATATTTTCTCTGTAATTATTTAAGTATGGTTAGAATATATACAATATGGATATGTTTGGGATATGGGGGTGGAGGCAGTTCCAGAAAGTTAAGTAGGGGCCAGATCATGAAAAATCTTAATGTCATTAAACATTTTTATGAAGGAAGTAACATTCTCATTCATTTATAAAGAATGAACAGGACAAGAATAACACTGAAAGTTAATGTTTAAGAGGGTGATATAACAACTCAAGCTGTGAATCTGGGCTTAAATTCAAATTAACAACTAATTGGTTAGAGAGAAAGATACAGATTCAATAGACCAGAATCTTTAAGAACTGATAATTGTATGTATGAAGTAATGGAGAGTGGAGTTAAAAATGTATCTTAAGTTTTTGGTTTCAGTGAACTGTTGGGAGTCAGGAGGTTGATATAACTAGGTCCAGTTTTGAACATGAATTTTAAGAACCTATAAGAAATCAAATAGTCAAATCCAGGAGACAAACAGAAAGGGCACGGAAATATAATTCATTCTGTATATGTTAACTGACCCTTGGTTCTTTCAAAACAACCAAACTCTATAACCAAGTGAGTTTGGGAAATTCTGTTATTAAACAGGGTTAAAAGCTGTCATTACAGAATGTCTCAGAGCACTAATATGCAACATGAATTTCCAAGAAGAGAATATGTTGTATGCAGGGTTTTCCAGACACTTCTATCACTTTAGTTCTGAAACACACCTAGAACAACCAATGCCTCAGAACAAGTACACTGGAAAACACTATCATATAAGAATGGTGGCATGTGAGATAAACAATAAATTTGAGTGCACCATCAGAATTACTGCAATTAGTAGAAAACATTTTAGTGGCACTTCTATTCTGAGGAATATAAGAGGACAAAACCAGCTGTTTTCCACCATTACCTTGATTAAACAGCCATCATTGCAATGCCATACTATTCCTTCAATTTTACCCTCTCTGCAACCTTCAAACCAGGACAACAGATCACTGTGCTTCAAGGAAGGTAGGTTTCTTATCTGAAACGCTCCATGTGGTATGAGAAGATGTAATGGATGCTTCTTGCTTCCTAATCCTGAATGATAAAATCTTGCCATTAGCTGTACAAAGGTTTCAAGGATAAGAACATTTACCTTTCCAAATAAAAATGTCTTTTAAAATATTTAAGAATATATTTATCAAAAAGTTTAGTTGGTTTCCTTGCAGAGATGTGCTATAAGCACTCTCCCTCAAAAGTGGCACCATATCCCATTAAGATTAAATTCTACCTTTGTGCACTCTATACCAGACTATGACCTGTGGGCAAAATCTAGCCAGATGCTTGCTTTCATAAATAATGATAATGGAACATAACCATTACTATTCATTTAAGTATCCATGGCCTGTTTCAGAGGTATGGCCCACAAAACCTAAATCTTTCCTATCTGGCCTTTTATAAAAAAGTCCACCAACCCATGCTCTACACCCTACATCATTAGCCACATAAACAGCCATGCCACATTTTGACAATTTGTATAATTACTTCCTTAGCTTCTTTCTGCCAGTTTGTTTCTGATCTTTATATAAGATTTTGCCATTCAGGCTGCACTGTTCTTGGGTGTGTCTTCATCCATCCCCCCGTCAACAATATACTCCATAGTGCCCCTGGGACTTGCACTCAATTCGTTATGCACTGCCAATTCACTCACTTTACACTCAGCTATTAATGCTACACTAATTACCTAGTCATGAAAAGCATACCATGATTTTCATTCATCTCAATTCACCTAAATTTTAAAAAGTAATGAAAAGTTACACCTTTTATACTTATATGTATTATAGTTTTATAATGTTACTAGAGGCCTGGTGCATAAAATTCATGCACAGGGGGTGGGGATGAGGGGTGAGGTTGTCCCTCCGGCCAGCCTGAGTCCTGCAGCCCTCAGGGAATGTCTGACTGCTGTGGAGGCGGGAGAGGCTCCCACCACCACCACTGCACTCGCCAGCAGTGAGCCTGGCTTCTGGCTGAGATGCGCTCTCCCTGTGGGAGCGTGCTGACCACCAGGGGGCAGCTCCTGTGTTGAGCATCTGCCCCCTGGTTTTTAGTGTGCGCCAGAGCAACCGGGTCTGTTCAGTTTATTTGCATATTAGCCTTTTATTATATAGGATTATAAGAAAGAACAAGACATCAACATTTTGTACTAATAAAACGATAAGGTAAATTTCTCCATAGACATAAAATTAAAAGAAATAGCTATTATCCTAGGCCAGTGGTCGGCAACCCATATGCGCCTCTTTGGCCCCTTAAGTGTGGCTCTTCCACGTGTGGGTGCACACGTACAGTGCGATTGAAACTTTGTGGCCCATGCACAGAAGTCAGTTTTCGGCTCTCAAAAGAAATTTCAATCGTTGTACTGTTGATTTGACTCTGTTGACTAATGAGTTTGCCGACCACTGCTCTAGGCTACTTAACTCAAGTTTATCAGTCACTTTTCTGTGTTTGTGTGTGTTTGTGTGTAAGTTGAACCTAGGTTGCCCTTATAAATGAATTATTATAACTATAACTGAACAGAAAAAGGCTTTACTCACCATATGGGTTTCCATTAATATTTGTCCCTATAAGCTCCAGCGTCTGTTCTAAGAGGTCTGACAGTGGCACTGCAGTAATTTCCAAAAGACCAGAATCATCAGGATGATGCTTCAGTACCAGGGCTATTTCGAATTCATAATTAACTACAGAGGAATGCCAACAATACTGCTTGTTGTTTTTCTCCACTGGTACCCACCCTATCATTTAAAGAAAAAAAGTGGGGGGTTTTTTTTGGTATTGTCTTTCTCTGCATTGACACAAGGTAATTTTTATTTTTGTTATAAATTTTCCATATTTCTGGATATTGTATTACAGAGTCATTTTTAAGTTCAGTAGAAATAACAGTTTTACTACTTTTTAAATCATAATAATTTTTTAAATTATAAGGTTTCATTTTGATCTTGTTGAGAAATTAACTTGATTATTCACTATAGAGCACTCAGCATTTTTACTAGAAAATTTTTAACTTTTCAATAAGAATTGAGCACCATTTTAAGATACAGAATTAAAATCCTTTTTTAAAATTAAGTTTTCTCTCTACCTTCTCTTATTTCCAGGACAACAGACATAACTGTTCTACAATTTATTGTACTGTCTCCATATTTACTGAAAAGTGTTTGATTCATACTTATTGAATGTTACTACTATTCCCATCCTACTTCAATTGCTAGAATAGAGTTCCTTATTGTGCTTGCTTTGACATACAACATTGTGGCCATCATATCTGTGGCTGTCATTACTCAAGGTTACTATAATGACCTTTTTCTTGGTATACTAGTCTCCAGGAACCCCCACCCCTCCATTTTTATCTTAGTTCCATTTTAAAAAATGTAAATTTATAATCTTCATGACAAACTTCAAATTCCTTTAGATGGAATACAAACCTTTTAAAATCTGAGCCCATTTCACATCTCCAGCCTCAAATTTTAAAATCGCCTCAAATGTCATTCACTCAAACATTCCAGCCAAAATAAAGTGTTAAATAAAATTTCCAAGGATTCCACCGGAGTGTGCCTAAGTAGATCCTCTCCCTTCCTTTCAGCTAATTTCCTGGTTCTTAAGCCTCAATACAGATGTCACTCCCCTTACTAGTAAACCTTCTCTAGCCACCACAGATTGGAGTATGAATTCTTCCTCTTTAACTGTAATCTGTGTACCTCTTCCTTTTGATTCTTAAATTATATTGTTATTGATGGATTTTCCCATCATGTCTACAAGATCTTTGAGGATCAGATCTTTGAGGTTCTGATCTTCATTTTGTATTACCAGAACCTAAGAGTACGTTGCACCTTACAGGCACTCGAGATATGCTGTTAACCTGAACCTTAATTTGGGTATCTTTCTACTCGGCACACCTCTACAAAAATTTTCTCTTCTCTAGTAAAACTTTTTTTGAGATATTTATTTTCACCTCCCTTAATTAAAACAGTCTTCTAGGACCTTTGCAAAAAAAAAAAAACAAAAAAAAACTATACACATTATTATCCTCAATTAAAAAAGTAAAGGCTGCTTAATATATCATTTCAGAAAAGATCAATTTTATCGTCTATCCTGACAACATCAAGGCTATTTCCACACAACACTTTATTTTCACAGACTACAGGTAGTAAACTGTCCATTCTTAGGATTCTAAACAGATAGGACATTCTCTATATGAAACAAACATCTTTGGTATAACTGTTACTTAACATAAATTAGACTCAAATTTTGTGCTAAACAGATAAATACTATGAAAAACTAAATTAAAGTGAAATTCCATAATTTTTGATCAAATGGATCTTTTGTTCTTTATATTAGTAAACACAAAATTGCATTTTAGCAGAGATTTCATGATACCAGGAATGTGTCCATTTTCATCAGGCATCGGATTTCCATTTAATTGTTCAATTTCCTTCGCTGGAATCCAGCACTCTGGAACCGGTTTGAAGTCCTCCTCAACATTCCAAAAAAATTCTAAAAGAACCAGATAATCTTATATGTAGTAGTACTTTAAAAAACATAAAATGCTGAAAAGTTTGAAGTGGGAATAGCTAATAAACCCCATAATATCAGGTATCATATACTTATTCTCCATTCATTATCACCACAATGTGACTATACTTCTCAGGGTTAGCGTAATACAGTGTTTCCCCGAAAATAAAACATCCTCCGAAAATAGGACCTACTTACAGGTTTCCTTCTGAGTGAAATATAATGCATCCCCTCAAAAATAAGGGCCCCCCCTAGGCTCTGTCTCAGAATGAAAATTAATTTACTGTAAACTGGTCGCTAGGGCCGCCGGGACTGGCGTCTAGCAACCAGTGACATTACGCGGAGTCCTGACCTCACTACTGTGTGGAGGCGAAGTGGAGGTCGGAGTGAGCTGTGAGCACGGGGTGGGAGAGAGGAGGAGACTTTCGCAGATGCCTGTAGAAGAACAGGAGGATTAGAGCGGACGGGATGCGGGGAAGGTGGTGAGTGCTGGTCTGTCTCTGGTGATACTACCTGAAGCTCTCGGCCGCCCTCATGATGACTGAAGGTTCTCAGTTAGTGGCAGACCCTGCTCCAGCCCAGATCCAGGCCCCAGCAAGCCCAGTGACAGTCCCCAGGCAGGCCCCAGGGGATAAATGTCTGATAAAGGGGTAGGGGGGATGTCTGGTGAAGCTGTTCAGTGGCACAGGGGTGGAGGGAGGGGGATCACTTAAAATGACACAGGAGGATGAGAGGGGGCAATCAAAATGACACAGGAGGATCAAAAGGGGTTACTAAAATGGTAATCCCCCCTCTGATTCTCCTGTGCCATTTTGATTCCCACTTCTGACCCCCCCTGTGTCATTTTAAGTGATCCCCCTCCCCCCAACTTGATACCCCAATTCCTTTTTTTACCCCTAGAAATGAGCTCAGAAAGAAAAAGCTACTCCGTGGAGTACAAGAAGGGAATCATGGAAGACTCTTGGGGCCAAAATATTACTGCTTTCTGCAAAAAGATGATGTTGAGTATCCGATTGGTCCGAAAATGGCAAGCAGAGTATGGTAACCTCATTGAACAAGTGAACAAGGGAAATGCTAAAAAGCACAAGTGTGGATCAGGTCGGCAACCATTATTTTCTGAGCTGGAAGACCTGATCTGTGAATGGGTTGTTGACAGGAGAGCAAAGGCTTTGGTTGTGCATAGGGCTCAGATTCAAGAATTTGCCCTTGCAATGGCACCACAGTTTGACATAGCCCCCGAAGACTTCAAAGCATCACAACACTGGCTGGATAATTTCCTTCAGCGAAGTGAACTGTCTTTAAGAAGATCTACAACATCGTTTAGGTTGGAAGATACTCAAGTTATTAAGCACTTGCATTTGCATTCAAGTCCTTTATTGATGATGCTGACTTCTCTAAATGCAATCTTTCCAACATGATTGCTATGGATGAAACTGCAGTGTTTACGGGCCAATCATCTCAAACAACAATTGAACAGCGGGGTGCCTCCTTAGTATACATTCCCTCCACTGCTTACGAAAGTGCACGTGTTTCCTGTATCTTGGCAATTGTCTAGATGGCACTAAAAATCCCACCTTTAATCATTTCTAAGGGCAAGAAGGAAAAGATTGAACATGTTTTGGGCGTTTTTATTCTTGAAACTGAAAAAGCCTGGGCCACACAAGCAGTTATAAGGAAGTGGGTTGATTTAATGCTGCAGCTTGATATGCGAGGAAGCCAAAGAAGTCTGCTAGTCTGGGATGCAGCCAGCACTCACCGCGCTAAAGACATGAAGACATTTCTTCACGAAAGAAAAATAGATCAGATAATGATTCTCATAGGAATGACGGCCTATCTCCAGACTCTTGATATTGCAATAAACAAGCCATTCAAAGACAATTTGTGCATGGAAATTAATGACTACATTGAAAATTGAATGGAGAGAAATCAGTGTGGAAACTCTGTGAAAACTAAACTGTAAGAAGTTGTGACTTGGGTGAAGAATTCATGGGAGAAAATCACTGACAGTTGCATTGCAAATGCATTGAGAGCAGGCTACCTTGACAAGAAGTACTCATTTAAAGACAGTGCTATTGCTAAACATGAGAGATTTGGTCCACTGATTCTGAAAGAAATGGAGTCACAAGAAATTCACCAGGAAATTCAGGAATCGGATTGTTATGATGTTCCAGAAGATGATGACATGATAGTCATTGAATAAATGAGTAAATTCTTGATACTGTAGGATTCACAGTTTTTCTGGTTTGTGTTGACAACTACCGTACTACCGTACCGTATACAGGTAATACATTTCCTTTATTTTCATTTAACAATAAATGTGTACCGTATTCTTCTTCATGGAAAAATAAGACATCCCCTGAAAATAAGACCTAGCGCATCTTTGGGAGCAAAAATTAATATAAGATACTGTCTTATTTTCGGGGAAACAGGGTAACACTTTAGCTATTCAATTTTGGATACACCACCATTTTCAGATACAGGATGACAATCTTAATTCTTTTACACAGAACAATATTCAATTCTAATTTTTCCCCCCAAAGTACGTAAATTATAATATAAGGCTACAATGTATAGAAACAACACAGCAAAAAATAACTCACAAATTTCAGCAAATTAAATCATGAAAAGCTGAAGAAAAAAAAGACCTACTAACCTTTTGAGTTTTGTTTTGAATGTAGAAAATTTTTAAATCTTTTTTCAGCTAGTTTGTTAGGTTTTCTATCTAACCGGGCCCAAAGATATGGTCTACCTAAATCAATAATAAAAGAAAAATATTAGGAGACAAACTTACCTTAAAATAAATTTCAGAATAAAATTTTCAATAAATAGTAGTGTCACCTTCTGCAAGAGAAGCAACCCCAGAAGACAAACTGAAATAAGTAGACCAACAGACACATCCTACCTAGCGATACCTGATATTGTAAGAAGTCTTAAGTTTTGGTTAAAGAATGATGGGAAAGCCCAGCAGGCCTGGCTCTGTGGTTGGATGTCCACCTATGAACCAGGAGGTCATGGTGGATTTCCCATCAGGGCACATGCCCTGGCAGTGGGCTAGATCCCCAGGAAGTGGTGTGCAAGAGGTAGCTAATCAGTGATTCTCTCTCATCATTGATGTATCCATCTCTCTTCCCCCTCCCTACTTCTCTGAAATCAATAAAAGTATATATATATATATATATATATATATATATATATATATATATATATATATTGGTGGGAATGAGATAAAAATAAGTATGTAACACTTTATAAGGCCATATTTTATTATAAATAATAAAATTTTGTGAGAAACTGAAGCTACCTCTATACAAAATGGAAACATGACAGGGAGACTAATGAGCTGCACCTGGTCTCAGTGAGACTCCTGGAGGTTCTGCTGCTGAGCCTGCTTAGTTAGCAGGAAGATGCTTTTGTGACCAGCAAAATACAGAAATCCCCAGCTGAGACTCTAATTTGGATTCCCTGTTTTGAAGTTGTTCTTTGTACACATCGGGGTTCCTGATTTGAGAGAGTGTGTCCTGCTAGAGCCTGGGGTGGGGTGGGTGGAGGGGGCAGCAGTTTTCACCTGGCCTCTCCTGACCCTTTGCTGCGAGACAGTTTGGGTTGTGATGCACATCCTTACTTTTAACACCCTTGCTATATTATGTATCCTCCACCTGTAATAAACTGTGAGCTGAAAGCTCTGTTATTACTAAGTTTTCTTTAGCAAACCTTATTCAACTGCTACCATTATAATAATCCCACATGATGATGCACAGTGAAGTTTCTTCATATTAATAGAGAAAAATCTGATTAAAATTATATTGTCATTTCTGTTTGAATGGACCTTTGTTCTTTTTACTAGTAAACAAACACACAAAAACAACAATGACAATTCTTTAAGATCGTTACTATAAAAAAATAAAAAACCCACAGAAAATAACAAGTATTGGTGAGGATGTGGAAAAATTGGAAGTGTGCAGTTGGTAGGAATATAATTGGTGCAATTTCTATGGAAAACTATGAAAGTTCCTCAAAAAAATAAAAATAGAATTTATACGACTCAACAATTCCACTTCTGGATATATACGCAAAAGAAGTGGAAGCAGGTCTGAAAGAGATAATTTTTACACGTCATAGCAGCATTGTTCATAATAGCCAAAAGGTGGAAGCTGCCCAAGTGTACATGGGTGGATGAGTGGATGGATGTGGTATATACATACAAAGGGATACTATCCAGTCTTGAAAAAGGAAATTCTGACACATACTATAAAACTTTGGTGAAGTTTAAGGATATTATGCTAAGTGAAATAAGTCAGTCACAAAAAAGATAAAAACTGTACAATTCCAGTATTTGTAATGAGGTACCCACAGCAGTCAAAATATAGAAAATAGTATGTTGGTTGGCAAGGACTGGAGGGAGAGGAAATGGTGAGATGTTTAATGGGCACAAAGTTTCAGTACTGGAAGAGGAAGAGTTCTGGTGAAAACAGTAGCACAAGGCAAACTACACACCACTGAAGTGTACACTTGAAATGGGTAAGGTGGTAAAATTTTATGTTATGTGTAATTTACAATTAAAAATGGAAAAAAAAATACATTTCAGGAGGAATTTCCTGATACCAGAAATATATTCAATTTTCATTTAACTGTCCTATCTCTCTTGCTTGAATTAAGGTAATTTCATTAACCAAAAGAAACTAAAAAGATTATTTCTCTTTCTATTTGAATTTCTACTCTTCTCCAAGTACATTAAAATAAATCAGAGACATTGTCAATAATAATGAAAACAATGAATCAGCAATGAGATTAACTTTAAGGTCAGACAAACCTAGGTTCTATTACCAGTTCTTCCGTTCATTAATTATATGGTACTAGAAGCTCAGTGCACAAAATTCATGTGGGGCAGGGGGAAGCCCCTCAGCCATCCTGCACCCTCTGGCAATCCAGGACCCCCCAGGGGATGTCTGACTGCCGGTTTAGGCCTGATCAATTCTAAAACAGTAGTCGGACATCCCTCTTACAATCTGGGACTCCTCACTCCTAACTGCCCCCTGACTCACTCCTTGCCACTTAGCACTGCCATAGAGGTGGGAGAGGTTCCCGCCACCACTGCTTGCTAGCCCTGAGCCCTGCTTCTGGCTGAATGGCACTCCCTCTGCGGAAGCACAAGGACCACCAGGGGGAGGCTCTCTCGTTGAGCATCTGCCCCCTGATGGTCAGTGTGCATCATAGCAACCAGTCATTCTGGTCATTCCACTGGAAGGGTCACCCCTCTGCGGAAGCACAAGGACCACCAGGGGGAGGCTCTCTCGTTGAGCATCTGCCCCCTGATGGTCAGTGTGCATCATAGCAACCAGTCATTCTGGTCATTCCACTGGAAGGGTCACTGGGTGTTTTATATATAGAATAGCTATAAATAGATTAAATAAATTACTTAAGTTCTCTGAGCCTGTTTCCATACCTGTGAAATGGAGAGCTTACTGTATAAAATTAGAGGTAACATGTCTAAAGCAATACATGTCTAAAGCAATTACCAAATTGGATGGCCCATAATAAGTATTAAGTACTAAATAATATTTGTAGAAGTTTTATTTTACCTTTGTAGGTAGTAACATAACAACATGTTCCATCCACTTTTTCTGTTGGAATGGCACTGTATATATCTGCATCTAATGCCTTGTGACTTACAGTTTCAGTGGCCAAAACTTTAAATGTCTTAAAAAAAGAGAGAGAGAAAACTGGTTTAACAGACAGCATCTACACCCTCATACATACTCTCACCTGGAATGTTTGTATAATTTCACTAATTTTAAGGAACAGTCTGTTTATCCTTAAGATGATTTAAAAATATTTTGTCCATGAAGTTCTCAGGGATCATTCCCTCCTGTATGATATCACAGCAATACCTGTTTTTCTCTTTTTGTTGTTAATAAAACCAAAGGATATTTTTTTTCCAGTGCTTTTTAGAGCAAGTGAAAGGGAGGGAGCAAGGAAAGGGAAGAACGAGAGAAGCATCAATTGGTTGTGTCCCACACCCATCTGACCCCGACTGGGATGGAACCTGCGAGCCAGGTAAGTGCCCTTGACTGTGAATCGAACACAAGACCCTTCGGTGTCAACACTAACCAAGGAGTCACACCAGCCTGGGCAATACCTGGCTTCCCACACAGATTATTAAATTGTTCATTTTCTTTCATTTTTTTATTAAGGTATTATATGTGTACATAACTTACCAATCCCCCCCCACCCTACTCCCATACATGCCCTCACCCCCCAGTTTTGTGTCCATTGGTTATGCTTATATGCATGCATACAAGTCCTTCGGATGATCTCTTATCTCCCCCACCTCTCCCTAATTGTCCCGCTGAAGTTTGACAGTCAGTTTGATGCTTCACTGTCTCTGTATGTTCATGTTTCTTTATCCACCATAATGAGCTTAGCACCAGGAACTATATCCCATGCAGTGCTGCATCCCTAGCAAAGGTGTTCAGTATGTTCAATCACTTGTTTGACAGTTATTTGCTAAATACTTCCTGAGGGTTAAGCATTGTTTTCAGCTTTTGGAAATAAGAGAGGTAAACAAAAAAGTACCTGTCTTTGGTGGAACTTTTATTTTAAGGAGGGAGGAGACAATAGTAATAAAAAGCAAAACAATGTTAGGCCTGATTAAGTGCTAAAGAGAAAAACAAGTAGGGGAGCTTTCAGAGTTATGAGAAGTAAACTGCACATTTATGATTTTCCTATCAGAAGACAAGCCAGAGAACCAAGAATGGAGGAAAGAACTGTTCCTAGGGTTCCTACCAACCCTTCTTGTGTCATTTTTCATTTCTGAGAAAGGCTTATGCCACTGTTTCAGTGTAAATGATTTGATGTAGTATTCCTGTGAAAAAATACCGTGCAACATAAACATTACATTCATGTGTGACAGACATCGATTTGTTGTTCCGCCCATCTATGCTTTCATTGGTTGGTTGGCTCTTATATGTGCACATGTGCTCTGACCGGGGATCAAACCTGCATCCCTGGTGTAAGACACTCTAACCAACTAAGAAGCTGCCTGGCCAGGGCCTGATCCAGTTCCGTTAAGATAAAAGTAAACGTGGAGTTTATTACTCACTTATGACGTATCAGAAGATAGCAATCTAACCTGGTAGATGGTAGAAGGTGGTAGAAGCAAGGTCTGGCCCCTTAGTGTGTATTCATGTTTACGTTTATCAAAGACCCTGGAGAAGGATCACTGTGCCGGTGGAGCTCTTTTTACAAACATCCTTCCATAATCCAGTATCTACCTCTACAGACATCTCCAAAGGACAACGTAAGATAAAAAGTGGTACACAAAGCTCTCCTTTTTTTACTGCCATTAGAGACTTTAACTAGAAAAATAAGGCGTGTGTGTATAAGAACTAAGACAGCAGAGTGATCCTCTACACTTTTGGGGTAGGGTTAATGTCACAGAGAAGATCTGATTCAAAAAATTAAAAATTCTGGAAGTGATCCTGGGAGAGTACACAGCAAAAATAGAGACAGGATGTGCCTGGTATGCGCACAGGATAAAATACTGACTTCACTAGAACAGAGATTTCTCTTCAAGTGAGTTTAGAGAGTAGATTGGGCCTGATGAACAGGAAGCCTTGAATTATAGTTAAGGATGTGTAGACTATGCTGTAAATTAATACTGTGAGCAATGCTATAGACTACTCTTAATTGCAAAGGAAAAGAGAAGGGGCTTATTTTTCCTGGTGGAGGAAACTTTCACAAACTACATTCCCTGCCCAACCTACAAAGTTGAGACTCACAGCTAGAGTGACAATGTCTCACATATAGATCAGGTTTGTTAGGAGTTAAAAAATAAAAGCTGGGCCGGCACCGGTTTGGCTCAGTGGATAAGAGCATCGGCTTGAAAGGTCCCGGGTTCGATTCCGGTCAAGGGCATGTACCTTGGTTGCGGGGACATCCCCAGTAGGGGGCGTGCAAGAGACAGCTGGTCGATGACTCTCATGGATGTTTCTAACTCTCTATCCCTCTCTCTTCCTCTCTGTGAAAAACCAATAAAATATATTAATAAATAAATAAATAAATAAATAAATAAAAATAATAAAAGCTGGACAACTACTGCTACAGACATTTTGTTTCAACTAGAAACAAAAAGCGTCATAATGATCATTCTGGGGGCAAGAACAATTAGGCAGTAATTAGGGTGTAAACATATTAAGACTGTAGCAACAGTGATGACAGCAGAAAGCAGACTAGAGAGGGTGTAAGCAAAAAGCATCAAGGTGAGTGGAAAACGGGCACGAAATGACTCCAGGGTTCATGCTTTAATTCAACAGATATTCATCCAGTGCCCACCACGGGACCAGAAATAGCATGGCCTTCAAGGCCCTTTAGCCCGGGACACGGAAGGCCAAGGCCCGTGGGAAGAGCGCCCGGGGCTGGCGGTCCAGGAGGAGGCAGCACCCAGTTGAAGCCTGGGGATTCTGCTACCAAGGCTCTGCTAGAGACTGAGGCATGGCCCTAACCTTATACATCAGTGTTTACTAAGACCTCTGGGTGCAAAACCCGGTGCTGAGAGAACAGGAAACCCTGAGATGGGAACCCCAAAACCAGAATTAAGTAGGTAATTGCTGGTGTGAGAGTCTGATCGTGAGTGGCCGAACCAGGCTGGTGAGATCGGGAGCCCCTCTGTCCATCCTCTTGAAAAAGGAGGTTAACACTTGCACTGCGGTGATTACGTAAATACTTAAGGAGTTTTCCCCCAAAGTAGCAGTGACCTGCGAAGAAAGGAGATGGATGAAGACGTACGTGGGTTTTCCGTCTCCACGCGAGGGCAATGTGACTCGCCCGACCAGAAACATGCCCTCGCAGATCTCCTCCTCCCTTGCAACACCGAAGGTACAGAGACCTGGGGCTCCGGTCGTAGGACACCCCCTCCCACCCCCTCCCCGACCTCACACCTCCCCGGCGAAACGCGCAGGCAGACGCCAGCCCACCGGCGGCTCCGACGCGCCCGCCCGCCCCCGGGGCAGGCAGGCAGCCGGCGCGGCGGGGAGGAGCGCGCGGCCGCGCAGCTACCTGATGCTCCCTCTTGGCGGAGGGCTCCTCCTTCACCTCCGTCACAAACACACAGGGCATTTTCCGCTGCACGGAGCCCAGGCGCCTCATGGTGGGCACGACATGCAACGCGAGCGGGAAGCGTGCCTCGGAGCGGCGACGGGGCCCTGCGGGGAGAGGAGGCTGCAGCCGCGCCCACGCCACACGCTCCCCACGCCCCGCGCCGCGGCGGCGGCCGCCCACAGCGAGCGCCGGGCGGGGACGTAGCCGGAAGCGTACCTGGCCGCGGTGCCTTCTGGGAGTTGTAGTGCTGGAGCCGAGACACCGCTCCCTGCGCTCTCCCACGTGTTTCTCCCCGGGTTCTAGGGGGGGAAAAAAAACAAAAACAAAAACACAACAGAAAGCCGTTTGTGGGATGTGGGTACTTAACTACACGTAGTAACCGTCGATATTGATGATAATTAAATAATATCAAGTTATAAGTAACGAACCATTTCAATGGCGATTGAACACCGTTCTGATGAAATATGTTCTCTTTAATAAGTTCCTGGGGGAAGCCCTATAGAAGATTAGAAATATCCAGGGACATCCCAAAGCCGAACGAAAACTGGTTTCCCAGTAAGAACGTTTTAAAAAAAAAAAAGAATGCTATAATTAAAACACCCGGGGCAAAATAAATAATTGCCATTTGGATTACCCCTCGTTTTCAACCGTAATGTGGTCAGAATTGGTTCAGATGTTCTTTACCGAGTGCAAACCCAAACCACAAGAATGCCTGCAAACAAGATTTCAACCTTAATTTTTTTTTTTTTTTTTTTTTTTTTAAATGGGAAGCTTACTACGAGCTCCAACACAGTCCAAATGGCTTGAGTCGTTGTATACAATCAACTGCAGAACTAAAACAGCTTGGACTGTTTCTCAAAAGAAAAGTGAGCATTGGGGTGGGTGCTTCACCTGATGCCGGCTGCAAGACCTTGAGACCAGGACCTTCTTAGCATTTTATAATTAACAATTAGTGACTTTTTTCCCCCCTCCAAAGGAGTCCTGGAAAGCAGCTTCCTTCATAAGTCTCAAGGGCACAACAAATAACCCTCACAACTATCAACTGTCATTTCCCAAACTGCCACAGAACCTTCTGGGTCCGACATTCTATCATTTTTTGAGAAAGGATTATCTTTAAAAATATTCCACTTGCTTTTTTAATAATACCAATAAAGCTAATCAATTTTAGTCAAGAAAGCACTCTTTCATTTCCAGTGCTTTGTTTTGTTAGTGCCTGGGGCAAAGCCAGTTTCAGGAAGGGGAGTCCAACTCAGGAGAGTGCCACAGGACCAGTCCAGGCTTAGAAACTGGACTCGTACTCTAGCTGGCAGCTTTGCCTGATTCTCACAAGCCTGAGGAGCCACCATGGAATTACTACCTGCCCCCACACTTAAAGTGGTGTTACTGGATTACAAACTGGAAGATATACTTTCTTCTGTGACTGATGTGCTAGTGTTTTAACTTGCATCTGTCATGAAAGACACAATGTGAGTCTACCTTGACCAACACAAAGTATTTACAGAATTTTGGGGCCTACCCCCAGCTGCAGAGGCAAATTTGTCATCATTTCATTACTAGGAGTAAAAATTCTCATTGATATGGTCATAGCTTCCCCTTGAAGATGAGAATGACTTTAATAATAGGAAAGAAAGAAAGAAAGAAAGAAAGAAAGAAAGAAAGAAAGAAAGAAAGAAAGAAAGAAAGAAAGAAAGAAAGAAAGAAAGAAGGAAGGAAGGAAGGAAGGAAGGAAGGAAGGAAGGAAGGAAGGAAGGAAGGAAGGAAGGAAGGAAGGAAGGAAGGAAGGAAGGTAGGAAGGAAGGTAGGAAGGAAGGAAGGAAAAGGGAAGAAAAGAAAAGAGAAAGAGAAAGAAAAGAAAAGAAAAGAAAAGAAAAGAAAAAAAAAGAAAAGAAAAGAAAAGAGAAAGAAAAGAGAAAGAAAAGAGAAAAAAAAAAAAAAAAAAGATAGAGATTAGAATTCCGGGCATTTTAAAGATTACCAAAATGTATGGATCTATTTGCTGTTCTTTGCAATGACAAAAAAGCTCATCACAATTTAAATTCCACATTTTGGGTTTTGCTGTGTTTAATGGAATATAGTTGTTCACAACAAATTTCAAGAGGTAAAACAATATTTTAGCCTTCCCCAGGTGTACTGTAAAACATATTTTTCACAATGGCTTTAAACAGGGCATTACATGTAATCATGCAATAATGGTGTTTGGTAACAGTATTTGCAAATAGTCCAATGCAGCTAAAACTTGGTAAGTGGAGAAGGAGTGTATCTAGAGGTAAAGACCACTTAAATATATTTATTAGGGGTGTTTCCCCCAGTAAATTATGTGCCTAAAATGGTTACTTTATTATAGCATTAGTAGGGCAAAGTAAAAGGCAAGATATTAGATTTTTCCTTAAATCTTTGCTAATGTATTTAAGGGTTCAGCCAAATATTTATTCTCTACTTCATAACTTACTTTGAATACTGCCCCGTTCTTTTTATTATATTCTCTCATTTAAAGTTATAGGCAAACAATTCTCTTCTAAATATTAGTTTCTTGTTTTATTTCCTAGATTTTTACTCCAACGCATTATATTCAACAAGTTCATACTAAGTTAATGTTTTACTTAGCCCACAATGGGAATCCATATGTTGATTTTTTAAGTTTCCAAATGAGTGCATTTTAATTTAAAAGTACATTTTAATCTAGTGTAATCTGTCATTTCTATAGCATCTTCTAAGTCACCTACTATGGATATTTTTGTTAATTTCTGCTAGGTTCTAATATTTTTAGTAAAGATAATAAGATGAAGAAACACTCAACTGCTGATTGAAATGTCTTATTCTACAATCAAAGTATATCACTTGGCTTTCAACACAGTCTCAAAATTTGCAAGTGCTCTGGATCCTTTCTACTTTAGGAAGAAGCTCTTTCTCCTTTTATGATGGATGAGTAATGAATGGAATACAGCTACAAGATGAATAAGTAATCCAATTTATTTTCAGGTACCTACTAAAATATTGCAATCTGAATGAATTTTTTTTTCAAAATCAGTGGATAGTAGTGAGTATATATTTTAATAATTTGTTATCTTAAAATATAGATAATATATTTACCTATTTAAAAGTTTAGTTTTGTTTTCAAACCATGTGTAGAAAAATAGCCATTTACTTTGAAATACTTAATTCTTTTGAGTTATACAATTATGAACTAATTTATGTTCATATTCAATCAGAACATTGAAAGAAAATATACTATTTTATTTTTACTAGCTGTTTTTAGTCACTATACTAGAATTGAGTAAGAGAAATACTGCACAGTATTCACTAAGGCAAACTAACCTACAGTTATAAGTGAGGTCATTTATGATGAGCAAACAATGGATATGATAACAGTGAGGAAAATTCTGGAAGTTTGAGTTTGTGTGCTTAGTAGCAACCACTTTCAACATTTCTGCAAAGCTAGAGAAGGTATCTTCTAATTTAAATTTCTTTAAGAAGTATCTATTATGTAATATACTGTCAACAGGAGGTCAGTTTTAAAGGAATAATACTGATAGCCTGAAAGACTCTGGAAAAGAAATTATTTTTCCCCTTACACACTGATAGTTCTTATATTTGTATTTCTGCAATTTTTATATTAAAAAACATTGGATTAGCAGCAAGAAAGTTGCAAATGGCAGAAGTTGGGAATGACTGCTATTTCTTTTTTAATTCCACATGCATAAAGGTAAATATACAATTTATAGTACTTCACATGTTAAAGATTTCTAGAATGAAGGGATATATGGCAATAATTTGTATTGCTGAATCAAAATTTACTATTTAATGTAAAATATTTTATATATCTAAAATCTGAAGTAAAATATTAGCATATATTATTGATATATTGAATTTTTCTGAGGAAATCATTAAAAATATTTGTGATAACTTAAAATATTTGTTTGAAACTACCTTTATATATACCAGTTACATGCCAATGACTCTTTTTATCTTGATGTGGCACTTTGTCTATTTTATGGTTCTTTGGGACAGCAAATTTCTAATCTGGAAACATAATATGACACATTATACTGTTTTGGTTAGTGTGGTTTCAGTCATATAAATTCAGGTCATTATCAAATTTAATTTAATCAAATTGAATCCTTATTTGAAATTCATTAACCCAAGTAATGAAATTTCACCTGTCAAAAGTCTAAGTAACAACATTTTATATCATGGAAAAAGGAAAAAAAGTAATATAAACAAATTAGCCAGATATTAATTAGATTTATAAAGTTAATTGGGAAAAATAGTTAAGAGATTAGGATTAATGGATTGCAACGAAACCAAATAAATGTAGAAATTCAATGTTTGGAATTTTATGTTCAAGCCAGAATGAACCCAGAGAAAGGAATGATGTATCTAGTTTAAGGTGTTTCATCTCTGCTAGAAAACCTGAAAATAACCTCTTTGTTAGAATTAGATTCACTTCTAGTGCCTGTTATCTTATGGTTAAAATCTATAATAATAAAAGGGTATTATGCTAATTAGACTGGATGTCTTCCAGATGTCCTTCCTGATGAAGCTGGGGCCAAAGGGAAGCCAGCGCAGGTCCTGGGTGCCTGCGGGTGGCCTGTGGGAAGGCACCCCTGATCTCGGGAGAAAAGCCCGAATCCCAGATACTGGAGAAGCCAATGCCAGCAGCCAGGGGAAGGAAGGCCTACTCTTGCACGAATTTTCGTGCATCAGGCCTCTAGTAATAATATAATTTATGTTCTATATGGACAGAGAGTTTTGTCTGTTTCATAATATGTTTCCAAGTAATTAGCACAGTAATTGATGTGGTAGTAAGTTCTCAATTAATACAATGATAGCAACCACAATACTGTATCTCACATTACCATTAAAACAATCTTTGAGGAGGTTATATTATCCTTTTCATATAAGAGGAAACTGAAGCACAAAGATGAGTAATGTATTGATTGTGATTATCAACAAGTAGTGAATCCAAGAGTTCAAATATTGACTTATCTAGACTCTTTATTGCACAGTATTGTATTATGAGATCCACTGATCCACTTTTAAAAGTGTAG